TGAATATCTGATTTGAACCGTAAAATAAAAAAAAATGTAGCACAACTAAGACGTTATTTAATTAGAAAAGCTTTTAATTGATTTTATAAAAAAAGTTATATTATAAACACTATTGTCTTAAGATAAAAATCGATGAATAATGAATTTTCACAAGAATAGTTTTCATTTTTTTAAATTTTAATTATAATAATTTATAAAATTTTAAATCTTTTAAAATTCTGCCTTAATTTGTCTCGGTTAGGTGACATTGTCATTAAGTAAAAACTTTAAGTACTAATTATAAATGGAAAAGCTTATTACAATTTAGCCACCAATATTTTTAAAAGTATTTATTGTTTTTTTTTAAATACGGACGCCCATACACGATATTATCAGAAAATAAGAGCGATAACTATAGTAAATTTAAAGCCAGAAAGTATCTAAAATTCAATAAAACATTAGATTACGGAGAATATTTTACTATTTTTCAAAGATTACTGGGTAGATAAAAATTAGATAAAAAAAGTCACACGTTATATTCCTCAAGTAATTTTTACAGATATATCCACCATAGAATAAAGTTAGATAAACTTCCATCTGACAGTCAAACCGTCAACACCTTAAATAAAGAAGCTACCACCATGTAAAAAAAAAAAGAAAAGAAAATTAAAATAAGTAATATTTGTTACAATTAGGATCAGTTAAAATTTACATCTTCCTCAAATAAAGCTTCAGAAAGTACAGGGTTCGGCTGGTATTTGAGGACAGATTTTATGGATTAGTAAAAAACTTGCTGAATATATTGAAAAAATAAACACGAAATTTAGCTAACTATTATTTAATTTTATTCAATAAAACCACCACTAGCATCAATAACTGCCTCTACACGAGGTCGAAATCGGCTGCAAGCACTGATTAATTGGTCCCTTATTTATATCAGACATTACACGTATTATTGCAGCTTTAAGAGAGTCTTTGGTGTTATGAGGCTGTTTATTAACCTCCTTCTCAACAACGTTCCACACATAATAGTCTAATGGATTGAGATCTGAAGAGTTAGGAGGCCAAATGTTGGGTGTGATGTGGTCGTACAAATGGTCAGCATCCATTCTTATGTTCGTAGAGCCTTGTGGGATGGAGCCGAGTCTTGCTGGAATATGTAAGGCCTGCCGTTGCATATGTTGCCAATCTAGGGCTTGACAACTGTTTCTAGAACCTCAATATAAGCAGCAGCATTTACTCTAAGACCTTGTGGAAAAAAGTGTGGTGGCATAACATGTCCTTCATTGCTAACAACGCCCAATACCATAACACTTGAAGGAAATTTTGTGCGTATCACTCTTGGTACCTCAGAAGGATCTGAACAAAGCCATCTGTCATTTCTTCTGTTAAGCTTTTGATCTTGATCAAAAGTTTTCTCATCTGAGAAAAACCAAATCACACCAGCTTCTGAAGGATTTTTAAATTTGTTTAAAAGCCTTTTTGGATCTGTTTAAACGGTTTTCTTTTGGTTTTTTTTTTTTCAGGCATAAATTGACCTCTCTTCAACACGTAGGACTTGTATTGAATGTTTTCATGAACACTCCTTTTGAATGCTTTTTTTTTCAGACATATGCAGCTTTTTGGAAACAGACGTCATTGAATGACACCGGTTTTCATCAATTGTCTCTTTGACTTCTTGAATAAATTCGCATGTTCTCGCTTTATCAGAACGTGCAGAATGTCTTTTACATTTTGATACAGACATTGAGGAACTGTCAGCGTCTTCTAACTCTTTTCGTATCTTATGGACAAACGATCTTGCAACTCCAAGGAAACGTGCAATATCGAAATCGCTATGATCAGCCTTTAATGCCACAATCACAGCATTCCTTTTCATTTCATTTGTTATCATAGGGTTTACCATTCTAGATTTCAGAAAAATAAAAGCATTAGAAGTTAGTGGGAAGCAGTATTAATCTTAAATCTGTATGTCCTCAAATATCAGTCGCACCCTGTATATTTTATTTTTGAAAGAATTTTAATAAAGAGAATTACACCGTGATGAAAGAGGGCTAAAATGGCGCTCAAATGTTCTATTTTAGCAAACTCCTTCCAGACAATTTAAATTAATAGCGTTGAAATACAGAAAAAATAGTTTGCTTATTGGAAATATTAAATTTAATCGAACAGCTAAAATATAGGCTTCAAGAAAGAATGTTATTTGGATTGTGATTAGATTCATATAAAAAAATTCTTGAATATTACTGGCTTACTTTACTTTTTCCCAGACTTTAAATTATGACACTTTCTGTCCTCCATATGTTTTGACTGACCTTTCAACCACCTGATGAATATTCATGAAGGTTATTGTTATGGGGTCCACCACTTTGTCATATAAGTGGACTCTACCAGTGTACCTGGACTGCTGCCGTTAAATACCCTGAGTTAGACAGTGAGGGTAATCGGATAGTGAGAGAGTAGTCGGATAGTGAGAGGGTAGTCGGAAAGAGAGAGAGAATATACGAACAGAGATAGTGTGAGGTAACCTCTTGTAGAAGTCAGTTACAAGCACGTAGATTCTAAGGAAATCCTACTTCGAGACTCTATATATCTATCTGTATTTGCTACTAACCGTGTTCCTGGATTTACTAACAGTATTACCCGTTGTATGATTGTGTAAATACATTTTATTTCTTATATTTAATTATTGCGTTTGTTCTTCATTTGAGACCGAATTCATCTCGGAATCCAGAACAGTTATCAAATTTAAAAGCTTTGATAAACCAATGATATTCTCGCCTTTGTGTACATAAACACGTGTAGCATAACAAACCCTGTATTACCCCGATAAAGTAAAAAAGAGGACGAAACGCGTCGACCAAGTATAGTTTTTCCTCATGTCTCTT